AAGAAAATGGATTACAGTAACTGCCGTACCCCCACTCTACGCTCTCCCAGCTATAAAACCAGAAGGCAAAAAGCGGAGTCCGGAAGATCAAGGAGACGGTGCGATATCGGATATCATAGCGGTGTTTATTGGGTGATGTAGGTGGGCTGCTAAAACACGACTTGACACCGAGTGATCGCTGGTGAGCAGTGGCATCTCCGTTACTTTGACACCACCAGAGATCTTAGGTAAGGTGACTCATATGCTTTGGAGTCTCGACCCCATAACTGCTCATATCTTTTGATGGCAAGGAACTGGAAATCCCACCTCAGAATTTGGACTTCTCAAATAGAAGGGAGAATAGAAGGGAGTGGTGCCAAATGACAATATCTATTCATAACTAGTACTGATCGTTTCTGCCAATTAGTTTATTGAATCCAGCTCTACCACACCCACTGGCACTTCAAAGTACACATATTTCTGTGTAATCCTACCTACCGGTACCATACCCCTTTGGAGTCACCAGTCATGTTGTGCTCGTGTCTCTGGTACGTGACGACACCGCACAGTACTAAAGTGGCCATACCCATGCCGATATTGCACCCGCGCCCAGATTCTTTCCTTTAAAGGAAATTTTCTGCCCGTGATTACTAGTTTGCAACTAAATAATCTGCCTGTGGGTGCAATCTCATTGAGGGTGTAACTGCTTTAAGGTATTTTTGATGATGATCATACTACAGTACCAGTAGCTGATAGGTTTATGGTACTCGAGTACATGGGTGACCCATGATCAGCAAGTACAGTAAAAGTGTTGAAACCCGCCACCCCGGCCGTATGCCAAATATCTCAGAAAATCCCGACAGCTCCCGAGATAGGTTTAACATAGCGAGTCAACCAAATTATGAAAGCCAATTAATACGATCCAAAACAGCCAAATGGCTCACACCTTACCACGTCAGGAAACTACTAATCCTTCTTAAGAAATTGTAACCCAGAAGTCAGAGACCAGAGGACTCATGGCGGTGGTGGATTTTGCAAGTTTCTTTTTTACTGCTAATAGTAGAACAGGCTTTGTCATCAGGTCAAGGTTGACTTTGAATCACATGTGCTTTTAGCAACTATGAGCCGTGCGAAACAGGAAGATAATGAACTATTCATAGAGACTCCTTGTTTTGTATACTAGCATCCAGTACCTAAAGTGCTAAGACATGTCTGATTGGCAATCCTCACAATTTCTATGCTAACCGCTTTGCATTGCGGGCAGGAGCTCGAAGATGGGTAGCCAGCCATGCAGGCCAGTTGCCAACTGTGGTTTCTGTGCCCAGAACCGAAAGTGAGCAACTCTCATCAATTCAGTTAAAAAATAGTAAGATCCCTGGCAGAGGGATGCGGTTTTCTCCTGTTTTCAAAATTATATGATACCCCTAATTCTTAACTAACATTAAGGAGCTATCCGCCTTAGTGGTGTAGCAATGGTAATGTATTCAATGTACCAATATCTATTCCACATCACTATTTTTCTATGTTTTGAACATGCAAGTTAGCTTGCCATCAACATATTCTCGTATTCAGCCTGACTGAGCATCTATCTAATGCCTCAGATGCAACAGATCAATCAAGAGAGTTACTAAAGATGCAGAATACCATCCGGTAGTAGACAGTAACAAAAATGTTGTGCAGTGCCCGAATGGATACCAAGGAAGTGTGTAGTGTAGAACCCTCAATTCAGTCTTGCTTTAGCAAAAACAGTGAATCAGCCTGCCTCGACATTTGGCAATACTGCAGTAGTAGAAAATCCCATCCTAGGCGTCAAGATATTTGTTTTGACAAGCAGAAATCCTGTTGGCAAACATGAACTGCAGTGTTCTCAGTGGGGCCGTCCATCAGTCTTAAGACTGGACGAGGACAGATTACATTTTGAAGTCTCACCCCATCCTCTAGACAATTCCCTGGGCAATTGGTGATTGTGGACGTCTGGCCCCACAGCCCCCCACTCTATCCTCGTTAATGTCTAGTTTTTTTGTTTCATTTTCTAACACAGAATATAAAGATGAGATGATATAGTTGGAAACTAGGTTTTAGAGATAATAATGGTACCATAAAATATCAATCATGTCCACAAAATGTAAAATATAGGACCGAGTAATCTTGAAGAGAGAATCAAAAGAAACCAGGATCACAATCAGCCAGGGGTGGGGAAACTGTAGCAATACTCAGCTGAGAGATGCAGGCACGGCAAATAAAGAGTAACTTAAAGCAGCATGGAAATAATTCAACAATCGCAAGCATGTCAAAGCGAAGAAATAATTGATGGAAGTAATATACAGAGCGGGTCGATACGAACGGCATAACATTTGTGAATGTAGGAGGAACAGGAAAAAAAGTATTCTAGCCTACAGAAGATGAACAAAGTCCAACGGAATATAATTCGAGTGCTTTAGGGGTATCTCGACACCCTATAACACCTAAATTCACCCCTCCATATATTAAGCCCGTGGTCCCTTTGGTCCACCAGCCATGCTGCTAGCACCCTGGCTAATAACGTCTGCGGTGATCGGGCCCGCGGCCCCCCCCGAGAAACGGCCCTCTTGGAACATCAAAGACAAGGACTGGGTACCATATCCTGTCCCGGCCAGTCCAGGGCTTTTGGCAGTCCGTCCCCCAGGCCCCATGGGGCCCCCGCACAGTTGCGAACATTGACGGACTATGGTTCCGGCCGTCTATACTAAGCACCTCAGATTTTGCAACGGGGGACGGCTTGGCACCAAAGATTATGTACATAGGTTCGACTCCTTTCAAGTTCTGAGTTTTTAGAGTTATTGTTAAGCCATAGTAATTTTTGGGAACAATAAACTATTATAGATGTATGAGGCGAACTTAAGCCTCTAGGAAATAAATATAAAATGATTTGTTGATTTCAAAAATTACCACAGCTTAACAATAACTCTAAAAACTAAGAACTTAAAAGGGGTTGATGATGTATATAATCTTTGGTGCCAAGCCGTCCCCCGTTGCAAAATCTGAGGTGCTTAGTATAGACGGCCGGAACCATATATAAACTGGCTCGTACTGCTGTGACGAAACAAAGGCTGCAGATCGTGGCGGAGGAGATAAAGGAAGTTGTGCGAAGGGGCGAAGGAAGGTGTGGTTGAGCGAGAGGGCAGGCCCTCGGTTGTTGATATTTTCGAACCTTTGCAGGGGTGAATCCCAGAATGTTGTTCCATCGTTCCTCGCAAGTTTTTCTATTCAGATGGTAAGTTAGTCCGTGCCCCTCGACCAGTCACACTCAGAACACCTTCCCCCCCTAGAATTTTATTCACCATGTGATATCACACCCCTTCCACTACCGCAAATCATTTCGCCACCAGCACCCACATCTAAATTCAACCCACTAACACACAGACAAACCCCCAGCGTTCCGAGCTGTCCCAGGGCCCAATAGGGATGGCGGGGGTTATTGCAAGAAGACGGGATAGGACATGGCCACTAGAGATGGTCCTGTGTAGGTCAAATCTCGTGAGAGACTATCAGGCTGGGCCGGGACCTCCAGGCCCGACAAGCTATGTCCTTATCAGTACCGTGAGACCCAGCGGACAGCGGCTGGTTAGTCAAACTGCAGGGGAGATGGCAGGAGGGCCTTGGTTTTGCGGGGGGCTATCTGAGGCTTCTCCTGTCATTGTGGGTACCTTCCTTCGCTCTCGTTTGTCTCCTTCGGGATCTCCTCGTCAACATGGCATCCCCTTTTGAATTTCAGGAATGCTTCTTGCTCATCCCGCCAATGGTTCATCACTAATCTGGGTCTCGTCTACAAAGGCCGGCACAGGCATACATGATCACTCTGTTATACCCACACCAAACCACATACAAGAAAACGCTGCATGCTCCCCCTAAACCTAAAATACTAATCCTGGGGGGGCTGCGCAAGATGAGTTTCAAAATAAGATTACACTGGTTTCGGCGTTCTGCTGTTTATGTTAATTTTCAAGTCGGATAGAAAGTTTGGGGCGCTATATGCAAAAGGGTCTGGCCAGAACTTGGTGTCAGAGTGAGAAATCTGGTTGAGGGAAGAGGTATCAGAGGTCCCGCCACTTTCGGAGGCATGAGGGACAGAGGACAAAAGCAGTGTGGTTGGAGCTCTCGGCTAAAGGGTTAGTCTCCATCTCACCTCATATGCGATTATCGAACATTTTACTTGAGCTAAGACGTTTTTTGAGTGGTGGCCTTTTATGTCATTACTTCTGTAGTCAAAAAAAAAGAGTAATCAAAAAAAGCAAGCATCAGACATCACAAGCCCCCTAGTGCCACCATCCCACCCCGCCATTATGTCGTCTTTGTTGTAAATCGCCGGTACTCTGACTAAGGTTGATTGAGGGATATTAGAGACACCCCTACAGCCGGCATTGATTTCTTATTTGTAATGCTTATGAGTTTGTTATTTGTCGAGCGGGGTAGGAGGTTCTAGACCACCTTGGTATGAAGCCAGTGAGGGGGGGTCAAGGGAAATGGTAGTGCACGAGGAGATCATAGAAAGGATGATTGGTTATACAAAGCGGGGTAGGATAGAAGATGGAAGAAACACAAGAAGATAGTTAAAAGAGGGGTAAGAGCGGGGATAGTGTGATCATGTTTGGAGGACAAGCGGAATTTTCCTTCTGTCTATTGTGTATATAAAGACATAAGGATACGGGAAGAAAGTAGAAGATATAAGGGGCAGCGGACACGGGTAGCAAGCACGGCTACAGATACAAAGTACAAATATACGGAGAAGCGATAAAAGACACAAGCGAGACCGAGATACCTTCGGCGTGCGAGATACCGACTATATTACACAAATTTCAACAGTCTTCCCCTATCCGCTGCTTCCCATCCATCTCAATACCATCTACAAGTGATGTATCCTCCTCCCTCTGTGTCTTCAGCTGCCGAACAAATCATCCTTTAGTTCAATCTTAAGCCATTGATACCGGGGGATAACTTACTGCCTATGGCACACCTCTCAAGACATCCTCAGAATAATCCAGGAGATCTTGTGCACTTAGCACAATGTCCCCCTCCCCTGGCCCAGCTGGACGAAGAAAGATTTTGGCGAAAGGGAGCATCAAAGGAGTTCCAGTGATGGTACCTCCGTCAAGGTTGATTTCGTTGACTTTGGTCGGCCTGATGAGGAGGGGATTAGGGTTGTTTCGTGTAATATGGGGATTCGGTACGGTGAGGTCTTCCCACTGCTCTAGATGTATTTTCCGCTGGAGTTTGTTGACCGCGATGAGAAGGACGATCTTGATATCATGGGCGGAGTTTGCTAGCCACCAGTTTGAATCAGTTCTCAAACGTTGAAGCGACTCCGAAACCCCGCATTCAAAGACCACGGTTGGCCAGTCTGTTTCGAGAGGACGCAAGGCGGTAGGTCTTATTGCTGAATCCGCTTCTTTTTGAGATGCTGCTCCTGAATAGGTTGCACTTCCCACATCGCAAAGACCCCGACGCAGCCCCATCACCTCAACCTTCATCCGAACGATGTGTACAAGCTCGCGGGTTGCTGTTTCGTAGGTCGGGCCAGGCATGATTTTAACAATCAAGGTCTCTGCATCGTTCAGGTAGAGGAAGCGGAGTGATTTGTGGCTTTCATCGCGGTTGGACTTGAGCTTCGCAAGCTGGGCTTGCGTAACTGGGGAAAACACAGCATACTGCCCAGCACTCAAGTTACCTGAGTGTAATTCATCTGCCTGCGCCTGAATTGCCCGATTGAAGGAGCGGGTATCGCGAAAGTGCTGGCGTTCCACCCCTTCTAGCCCTTCATTGAGGTAATGATCCATACTGAGTGGTATGTTTGGTACGGGTGTTTGGGAGACAGATGGGGTAGCGGAGATATTGAGTAGGTGAGCGGGATTGTCAGATATTATTTTCGGTGGTCAGTGGTTAGTACAGCAGGAATCGGCAGCACTTGGATGGTATTTGTATCGATGGCGCTTTGTGTTGGTCTTTTAAAGGTTCTGAGCGACAGGGCTAGGGCAATGAGAGAAGGTTAGAGGATTTTAGGCGTGGCTTGGCGGCTTATCACCTTAGCGTATGTAGTATTTGTGTGAGTATGACATTACCTTAGACTTTCGGCACATCCACCGGCACCCGAGTACTGT